TTAAATGGCTGCAGTAAAAGAGGTCAGCAAGGCTATATGAGAATTTTGATTGATCATTCAAATTGCAGAAACCCAAACTAACTAAAGTTAAACCAATTACTTTTAAGGGTTAATTACAGCATGAAATATTATATTTTATTAATTTTTTTTACAAACTAGGGATAGATTGGTGGTTCATATCAATCGTGCTGTAAATTGCTTCGTGGTTGACTGAAGGCTGAAACAGTCAGATGCCACTTTACTGTTCACTTAGCAAAAACTAACTCAAGAACTCTCCAAAACTCCTACCCTCGTGAACAATTATAATTTTAGATACCCACATTAATATAGATTGGGTTAACAAAGGATTTCAATCAACATTTCTCTAAAATTATTTCAACAAAGCTGAATATTTCATGAAGACCGGGGTGTTGTATTAGCTAATATGCCTAGCTAAAATGTCGTCTAGATGTTTTTAGCTGGATTTATCTAACAGACTGACAAATGAGCGTACATCTGTAGGAATAAAGTTGATTTATATTCTTAATTATGTTTTTAATTTTATATTTTAATGTTAGTTTTCAGGGTTAAAAAAACAGGTTAATTCCTTTGGGTTTGTTTTTTTTATGGAGGGGTATAAAGTAAAATATTTGATATTTTAACCACAAAATTAGTTATTAGGTCATTCAAGTGCCCTGGTGTTATCTAATTGTGTCTTACATATATAAACTATTGTGATATTTTAGCAGTAGGACGTGAATTTACATATTGATGTGACTAATCTGAGGGGTATTAGCGGCTAGCTATTAGAGATGCCCTCAAATTACAGAATTTTCCTAAAATTAATACCATCAATGCACTAATTTCTTTGCCCTCAGCACTCAATCATACCATTTTTATATTGATTGTTGTTTCAACATTTCATATTGAGCACATCATTTTTTGCTAGCCAGCACTGGCTGCGGCAAACATCACTGGCTATTATACAGTGCAAAACAAACTCGTCAGGTTATGGGCAATCTAGATGGGTCTCTTGGGTTTAAGTTTTATTTTGATTCAGATTTGACAAAGGCTTCATAGACTCATGTATTTTGCTGTTACTCACAACAATGTGTTCTTTGACATCCATTCATTTTGGGGCATCAGTTATTTATTTGAGGGAATAAACTACTAATATGTGTTTAAGAGTTATTACATTTTACTCCTTTGCTAATTCAATGATAAAATTGTAAGTGGTAGGGTCATTCACCGTGCTTGTGTGCTTCTGTGTTTGCTGTCTGTGTATCTGTGTCCATAACATACTGTACATTTGTCAGCTTGGCAGCTTGGCAGACATCTTTTGCAGTATTGCATTTCTGGATTCATCGCTCTGAGCATCCAGATTCCTGACTGTCGGTTCAAAGGTCACATCACTCCTGCCCCCAGTGGTATCTCTCAAACAGACACACACACACACACACACACACACACACACACACACACACACACACACACACACACACACACACACACACACACACACACACAGACAGAAGTGGAAATGACAGACATTCACAGCATCTATTTGAATCTAAAGTTTATCATGTTTTCCCCTTCACATGAAATATCCAGTCTGTCAAATGTTATTTTAGAAATCTAAATTACTGACTAATTGTCAATATTCTTGTAATTTCCTCTAATTTTGCACTTGCAAATATTTTTAAAGGCAAGTATCATTTTTGCCAATATAATAATAATAATATACTATTTAAACTATTATATCAAATATCCACTAGAAAGCTAAGTAGAGTCTTTTTTAGGCGATGGTTAAGAGAAATCTCAGGAATGTGCCACTGTCATGTTATGATGGCAACCTGTTGGCAAACTGCTGCAGTTCAATGAGGTTAAGCTGAATAAAATCCACAGAGAGATAAATTCCTATACTAACAATTGCCAGTGTGAATGCAGCTCTTTGACAGTGTGATTTCTCTTGACACATATTTTCCAGACACCACTGACGGTGCTAAGATAATATATTCAAATATTACAGAAAATAAATTCTAAATGTTAAACTGGATTTAAAAAAAAACAACAAAAAAAAAAACAAAAACCTTTAAAGCAGCCTCTGGGATGGTACTAATGGTGCCGCTTTTTTCCTGATCTACTCTACACCAACAATATATAGAACCTATTTACTAAAATGTAGTGTTTTTTTTCTTACACTTTCGATCAACGGCTCTGTTTGATATCTCATCCTCTCTCTCACACACACACGCACACACACACGCACACAATCCTTTACAAGGCCCCTTTATTTGACAAGCCTAATCTTTCCCAACACAAGAAGTGACAATAAGCAGGCACAGCGGCCTAATTAAAGGGACTTTCATTCAAATTAACACACACTCTCTCTCTCTCACACACACAGACACACACACACTCTCTGATGACCCATTAGCTGCACAATGGCCAGGACAATGCTTCTCTGTCACACACACACATTCTGTTCTCCAGGGGGTAAAGATGGGTTTAAATTTAAGAATGCCATAAAAGTGTCCATGGGGTGAAAGAATGCCTTTAAAATCTCTGCAAACGCTATCTAGATAAGACAACAAGTTGCATATAGTGAATCTCCAAAGGCACTGACACTTTCATCTCTCCATATCTGCGACTGCAACCCCCAGTCAGCCCCAAAGACCTGAACATTTACAAGCAGATTCATCACTTATCTCTTAAAGCTCTTATCCAGGGTTGTTGTGCGTCCTCTCTTTCCCTTTATCTGCATTTGACCCTGGGCTTTTTAGCGTGGCAGGGGGTGTGAAAGTCAGTTTGACCTCTTGGGGTAACCTCAAACACAAATCACCGTGTGCTCCACAAAGCGCTGAGACAGAGGCCCTTTGAGAAATGAGCAATGACCACAAAATGGTAACCTTTATTTCCAGCACAATAAGCTGCTCTGGAGCGGGCTGCTCGCACGTATGCGGGATCAAAGTGTCTTTTATCCAACAGGGAGAGAAACATTCTCGCTTTGAGAAAATGAAGTTCACCTCACTGATGCTCTGTTTGGCTTCTTAAATTGTGCGCTGCAGTGTAAAAACTTTCAGATGCTGCATTCGATTGCTTTCTGAGAGACAAAGGGCGGGCAGGAGATCGGCTTGCTTGTATTTGTTGCAGGGCTTCGGGGTAATCTGGTATTGTTGGGTTTTTTTTTTTTTGAGGCCTTGGGGTCATGCTTTCTGCATCTCTGAGGAAAAAAGATCCTCCACATTCTTCCTGTGCGTGTGTGTGTGTGTGTGTGTGTGTATGTTTGTGTATGTGCATGCTGCCCCACACAGCCCACTCTCTTTGCTCTTTGACTCCAATGGCCATATAAGGCAGCCGGCACCATGGTAACCGCAGGGCTTGAATAGCAGTGTCAAATCCCTGGGAGCGCACACACACACACGCGCGCGCACACACACACACACACACACACACACACACACACAGACTGCCCCCTCCCCCTCTGCACACACTCCCCTCTCTCTCTTTGCTCTCTCTCTCTCTCTCTCTCTCAAACACACACAAATAGGTTGGAGGAAAACAGACAGACAGGACGAAAGAGGGCGAGGAGGTGAAAAAAAAAAAAAAGAAAAAAAAGCAAAGGCTGAGAAATCCAGCCCGTCTCCGGCTCTGGCCATTTTCTTGAATCATAATTTGATTTGTGTACTGAAGCTGGAAGGAGAAAGAGAGAGCGAGAGAGAGCGAGAGAGAGAGAGAGGGGGAAGAGGAGCACCCATCCCTTCCACCCCCACCTCCTGTTTTGCCTGAGCCACAGGGAAAGGTTTCACACACACACACACACACACACACAGAGACGAAAAGCAGCACACAGGGCTAGGCCGCAAGTCATTAGTTCTTGGTGGGCAAGCACTGACAAAAGGCTGGAGGGAGAAGCCTGCATGAGTGCCTGGAGAGGGACCACAGGAACTATGGAGGGCTGAACAGGCGGTCGCTCTCTCCTGCTTTCCTTGATTTTTTTTTTTTTTTTTTCCTGAAAGGAAGCAGCACAGAGGATACTGTCACAGCCGATCACTCGTGCTACAACAAGCAGGGAAGAGAGAGCACTTCCTTGTGTTCAGGATCTACTTGTGTTGTGTATTTGGGAAGTGAGCACAGGCAGTCCACGTCGCCTCGTCTACTGCCGCTGCCGCCGCCGCTGCTGCACCAAGCGGTGCCTTGAAGAAGCCCACGACCACACGAAAGTGATGTTGTTGTTGTTTGTTGTTGTCTGGACGTCAAGTTGATTTGCTTGATCTGGAATGTCTTCATTGTGGGTCACAATGCTGCCGCTGAGAGGATTACAGCAGAATAGGAGAGCTGTGTCTGCGCTCTCTGCCTCGCTGGATGGAAGGAAGATCTAGAGCGAGAGAAGGATTTATTTTCCAGTGAGGGAAGCCATAGACACAGCATGTTCATGTTTGCTCTGAGGTAAGCTTGGCATCATTTCTAGAAGGATTAAGAGGTGGATATTTAGCTAGACAGCTGCCTTATATGTGGAATAACCGGTGTGAGCAAAGACAAATTCAGTGTAAGGGGTACTTTAAGAGGGGTGGTCAAAGCCTCTCCAGGCATGTGCTAAGGCGAGCTACACTGAGGTCCTTTTTCAGCCATTACTGTTGCTACAGAGACAGAGCTGGGGGTGTGAGAGTGAAACAAGATTGTGTGGAGCTGTGCCGTAGAAGATTTTCACCTCGTGTCATTTGCTTGCAAATGCCTTTTGCTCTCTCTTTTCTTTTTTTTTTTGAAGAATGTGCACCGTATGTTTGACTCATTGTTTCCTGTGAAAGGTTCCTTGGCTGAAAGCGTTCGACCGGGCAGCGCTGGAGCAGGCTTCTCTTCAACCATCTCAGGAACTGGTCCAAAGAAAAGGGACAAAACACAACACACAGTGGCTACGAGTGGAATAAGGGAAGAAGAAGAAAAAGATAAGAGGGGGGAGGGAGGGGGCATTGAAATCCACAAGCATGCAAAACTAAAAGTTGCCACAGTGAAGACTGTTTCCAGGTCATAGTGGAGTGGGAGGAGACTGAACTGCTCTTGTTTTTTTCTGCCAAACACCCTCCTCCTCAATGTAATAGCCTATTTTTTTTCTCATTGACATCTGCTTGTTCACCCTGAGGACAGTTTTTTTTTCATCACTTATTTGCTCTAAAATAATCAAGAGACTTAATTAACTAATGAGAGCACAGGCACGCGGGAGATACTGATTCTCTCCAGGTGAAGGGAAACACACATTCAGGACTTTTGATATTTATGTTACCTTGACAGCAACCAGAAATCTTGGCTGCCTGTCCCATTTTCCTCTGCGGTGGTTCGGTAACCAAGCGATGGCCATGGTGAGTGGGGGCTGGGGAGATCCCAATGGGGGCACCAACGGTTTAGGGGACAAGAGCTACCTGAGGGGGGAGGAGGAGGACGGCTCTCCCCAGGCGGGGGGCAGCGACATGGAAGCCGGAGACGAAGACAAGGCGTGCGTGGTGGACTGCGTGGTGTGCGGGGACAAGTCCAGCGGGAAACATTACGGCGTGTTCACCTGCGAGGGCTGCAAGAGCTTCTTCAAGAGGAGCGTCAGACGCAACCTCAGCTACACTTGCAGGTGAGTGGAGCATTGTGGGTAATGTATTTTGAACATTGATAGCCTGAGAAATATAAACAGCGTGGTGAAAACTGGTATCGTACGGTGTGGAGATGTGTGAGCTGCAGCGACACACATCGATAGGTGACGTTAAACAGATATGAATGCGCTGGAGTGTCAGATTTCCATCTGATGTTGTCTTTCCAAAACTGATGACCGATGATATTTCAACAAACTCATGATTGAGATGCATCAAAATGTCTTTGTGTAAAGCTGCTACAGTTGCAGTAGCAGAAAGTTATGCATCCTTGCAATAGATCTGCAACAATTAGTCGATTAATCAGTTAGTTGATTGCCAAAACTTATTATGATAATCAATTTTCAAGCAAAAATTCCAATCATCTGGTTTCAGCCTCTTAAATGTGAAGATTTTCTGTTTTTCTTTGTCCTGTATGATAGTAAACTGAATATCTTGCATTCTGGTCTATGTCACATAAAGCAAGTGCATTGAATGTGTCACCTTCAGCTCCAATAAGCTGTGATGGACATTTGTTTTTCACTGTTGATGAATCAAAAGTAAAAAATAATAGCTGCAACCTTACTTCATTCACTTCACCACTAACGTCTGTGAAGCATGTCATACACAGAACCACTAACATAACATTCATAGTAGAATGAATGAAAGATATGATGCAGACATACCTACATCCATTTTTTTTTTTAGAGTTAAACGAAGATTTCGGTTGTCATTCATTAGCCTACAGAGAGCTGAACTGTCATATTTAGTATGTAAACTTCTACATACTACAGTTTTTTTTTATTACAGTTTTAGGGCTGCTACAACTAATCCACAGATTATTTTTTTTACAGTCAACTGATTAATCATCTAGTCCATGAAATGTCAAATGTCCATGAACACTGCCCGTCACAGTTTCTCTAAGTCCAATGTGACGTCTTCAAAATGCTTGTTTTGTCTGGCCAGAAATCCAAAACCCAAAGATCTTCCATCACAGATATTCGACAGATATTCATACAGTTATAGTGCATGACAGAGGAAAGCAGCAAATCCTTACATTTGTGAAGCTGGAACGAGAGAATGCTTCAAATTTTTGCTTGAAAAATGGGACAATCAATTACATATCGCAATAATTGGCAACTATTTTTCTGTTCGACTAATCAATTAATTGGCCAATCATTTCAACGAGTGTCAGTATCAGGCTGTAGACACTTAATTTGTGTCAAATCATGTTAATCGCTGCAGCAACTTCCCTTTCTCACAATTTAAGGAGCCTTAAAGCGGCACCAGTTACTACATGGTTTGGATCGTTGCGATTTCCTCATTGAAAACTGAATCAAAACCAGGAAACCAATTGTCGAAGTGAAAGCAGGTGATAGCCGACAGCCTGACACCTGCAGGAAATAACACTGTTGTTGCATTTGTGCAGAAGTTGCTAAAACTCAAGAGTTTTATGGAGGAATCCTTCCATAAATCTTGAATCCTCTTTAGTTGCCGTCATCATTTGTTTGTGTTCTCAGGTCTAACAGAGAGTGTCAGATTGACCAGCACCACAGGAACCAGTGCCAGTACTGTCGCCTGAAGAAGTGCTTCCGTGTTGGCATGCGCAAAGAAGGTATCTGTCTATCCTGATCCATAAATCCTTCATCCATTCCGATCCTTTGTAAATTGCGAGAGATGCTGCGATTGTGCGATATTGAAAATACTGCAGTTGAAGTGATATGAAAAAAAGAAAATAATGGATATTTAGTTCAGTGAAGAGCGCCAGAGTGTCCCCTCCTGACTCCCATCAGCTGCTCTTAGAAAAGGAAGAAAAAATTAATTATAGTTCAATTAAAGTTAAGTCATTATCTTTCCGCCTCTGCTCCACGAACTCCAAAGAGCAGGGAAAAGGCCACACATGGGTGTCTAGGCCCTATCATGGCTAAGCTAACCATGCGTGTCAGCTCAATGCCATGTACTAAGTGGCTTAATCTAGTGCCTGCGTAAGAGTGAGTGAGAGGGATACAGTGCTAAGACACCTGCGTCCCAGAGCCTTAAGCCTCTGGTTGAAGCTAAAGCAGAAACCCTCTGACTTGTTGGCTCGATCAAGAAGAATCCAATATGGGGATTTCACCTTAAGTGGTGGAGCAGAGGCGACGCATCATTCAATATCCTGCTGAAAGATAACCAGAGAGACGAATACGAAGACGAACTAATACCATGCATAAGGATACAGATTAGAGAAAATGGATTTTACTTTTTCATGTTTTTTAGTTAGATGTAGTTTGGAGGTTTGTGATCTCGTGTCTCTGAGTTGTGGTTCCCCCCCACACTCACAGATCATAAAGCATGCTAATGAGACACATTATGGCTCCCTACAGAGAAATTCCTTTCCTTCCACAGGGAGGTCAGATGTCAAGGTCAGCTGCAGAGCATGATTCCTCTGCCTCTGGATTCAGTGTCTTGCTCAAGGGCACTTAAGCAGGGGACCGATGCTTACCACATGAATTCATATCCCCAAATGAATGAGTCTCTCTTCAGCGGGCTGCCCTGCTTTCTCAGTTTTGGCAGTAATGCTGTCTGTCACGGCTATGGTACTTTCTCTATGCTAAGAGATGTTCTTAGTCTCACAGTGTGGTTCTGTCTGTATAAAGATGAGTATATGCTAAGGTGACTGCAATAGCATTTTGTAATTCTCCTCCAGAATTAATATTGCAGTGGTTTAAAATTTTAATGGAAAGTAAATTCGTGCCTCAAAGTCTTTGTTTTATGTCTGCAGATGACCTTCATCTAGCCTCACGAGCACGAGAATATTTCTCCTCACCTTCACGCTTTTGTTTGAGGAATCAGTCTGTGCTCAGTTGTGCCTCCATTTTAATCTTGATGAATAGTTTCCGTATCGGGTCAAACCTGTCTGCCCATAATCTGACGTGCACAACTGGATGGACTCAGTTTTAACTTTTTTTCCTCTCCCTTTTCATCTCCAAATCCCCTCCTTCCCTCCCCCCCTTGTCCTTCATTATTTTCTCCTCTCCTCTCCTCTCCTCTCCTCTCCTCCCCAATGTCCCCCAACCAAACTACAGCAGTTCAACGCGGTCGGATCCCACCTCAGCCGAGCCTCAGCCCCTCCATCACGCCCATAGGTGGCGCCAGCGGCCTTGGAGGTGGTGAATTTTATAACAACAACAATGGAGGAAGTGGTGGAGGTCAGCCGGTGTCAGAGCTAATTTCTCAGCTGCTGCGAGCAGAGCCTTACCCCAGCAGTCGGTATGGGCACCAGTACAACCAACAGGCTGGTCCAGATAATGCCATGGGCATTGATAATATCTGTGAACTGGCAGCCCGGCTTCTCTTCAGTACTGTGGAGTGGGCCAGAAACATCCCTTATTTCCCTGAGCTGCCTGTTTCAGACCAGGTCAGTACCTTAAATTTCATAGTTTTTCCCTTGTTTTCATAAATATAGGACAGAAAGAGACAAGAAAGGGCAGAAGAATCATATTTACATCAAATATAAATGTACAATGAATGCAATAAACATTAAAAATGGATGACAACAATGTATGGGGTATCTGATTAACACGCTAACAAATCCACAGGTTGCCCTGCTGAGGCTGAGCTGGAGTGAGCTGTTCATCCTCAATGCGGCCCAGTCGGCTCTGCCGCTCCACATGGCTCCCTTGCTGGCCGCGGCCGGCTTCCACTCATCGCCCATGTCTGCCGAGCGAGTGGTTTCCTTCATGGACCAGGTGAGGGTGTTCCAGGACCAGGTGGACAAGCTGACCAGGCTGCAGGTGGACTCGGCTGAGTACAGCTGTCTCAAGGCCATCGCACTGTTCTCACCAGGTGATTGCCTTTGCTCATCTGTATGATCTGCTTTTATTGCAACACAGTGAACTAAAGAACCACCTCAGGCAGCCACTTTTAAAAGGTTCCTCCAGTGATTTAGTGTTGCAGGCTTTCTGTTACACGTCTCAAAGAGCATGACCTTCCACAGCTACAGAAAACAGGCTGAGTGGGACTAATAAACTGATCCTCATGTGACAAATTGTTGGGGTTCCCCCATAAAAGATAAATAAGAATTGACCACACAAGAAGTAAGAGTCTAACAGCACATCACAGAACAACAGCAGTTAAAATAACTGGGGAAAATGCTGCAGGTCTTAAACTTGAAAACTTCATAACTTGCCTCTGAGAGTGACTGGGCTGAGTGACTGCAGTGAAGTTGGCTACGTTGATCTGGGAATTTACCTACTATGGCACCATCTCCTGGCTCATTAATGCAAATGCAGTAATGTTTTATGTGCCGTATCATTAGTGCCATTAGTGTCATTGATCATTATGCAGCACTGTGCATTTTTTAACTTAAGTCTTGTATAAGTGGCTACCTCAAAGAAATTACTCATTGTGAGTGCCACCTCTTAAAGCTTTCAGATGTTTTTTTTTTCTTTTTAGCTAAATGACCTGGTAATAGTTTAAAGTTATAGTTTAAAGTTGTGTTTGGGGTTTGTAGGGTTTAAATAATGTGTTTTTCCGAGTGCATGCATATGTTGATGCACTATATTTTTATGTGTTATCCTCAGGGGCATTTTATCAGAATTTTTGCTGGGAATTCAACCTTCCTCTCGGCTCATCACGACTCTTTATGTAACCTGCCCACACTATTAAGTAACTACCTCCTCCTCCCTCCCTTTCAGACGCCTGTGGTCTAACAGACCCAGTCCACGTGGAGTCTCTGCAGGAGAAGGCTCAGGTGGCTCTGACAGAGTACGAGAGGATGCAGTATCCAAGTCAGCCTCAGCGCTTCGGCCGCCTGCTCCTGCGCCTCCCTGCCTTGCGCGCTGTTCCCGCCAACCTCATCTCTCAGCTCTTTTTCATGCGCCTGGTAGGAAAGACACCCATCGAGACGCTGATCCGTGACATGCAGCTCTCCGGAAGCTCAATCAGCTGGCCGTATGTCCCAGGACAGTAGCCCCCACCCCCCCGACGGATGAGGTCTCCGTCTGGGATTAGTGACGACAAGGACCCACAGGAAACCTCCTGACTCATCACTATCCATCTGTGTGGTTATCAAACTGCAGTGCCAGCTGGCCGTCATACGTACTGTACTGTAACCGCTCTATCCCCCCCCCCCCCCCCATGAAACGAGCCCTCTGTCTCCACGCAGGCCTCCAGAGAAGAGAGAGGAGCTGGTGCCAGGCTGGATCTGTCTTGTTGCCAGCACAGTCGTTCTGGTGCCAGGTCTGAGGCCAGAGACCAGCTCTTCATGCTGGGCTCCGATATGGCCACCACAGCCAGTCATGTCACCACCCACATGCCATAGTGACTAAAGACACCGCAGTTCCATGTAGAGGGCAGCAGCACCCTGCTACAAATACATCTACAGGACAAAACTGTCCCGCCACTGAAAGTCAGAGGAGGAATTTTTCCCACACTGGGCTCATTTTCCATGACTCACCATTTGTGATACTGTGACCTTCTGACTGATAACATTACAATCATGAATATAACTGAACAGTCTAAAGCTGCAGAAAGCTGTGGTTGCACTGTGAACTGAACACAAGACACAGTGAGGAAATCTGAATTCACCGCTCTCTTACCTCAACACATGAGGAGGAAGCCAAGGAAGAGAAATAAAGAAAAACCAAGGAAAACTCACCAAAGTCTATCACGTCATCATCCGATGATTTTTAAGTAGAATAATTAGAACACAAAGCAGAGAGAAGGAGATGAACGGACTCTTGTGACTGTTTGACCATCAAGTGAACAATGCATTTAAATTCATTCACAGGGCTCACTGTTCCGAGAAGATTTGAAAACAAGAAGCAACACTTACATGAGAACGGACTAATACCTCACTAGACATCAGAATGCTTTAGTCTGATATTTCCTAAACACAAACCTCTGTAAATGTCGTTCACCAGAAACCGCCTTCTTTTTGACAACTGCCTTGTTATTCAGTATGAATTTGGGACACATTTGAAATATGAAGTGAGTCTTACAAACATCACAAACATTTGTCTTGTATCTTTTTAAAAAAAAAATATCCCCAAAGTGGTTTTCACCTGTGTTTTGAATATGAGTTTGACTGACTGAATATGGTGAATTCAGCTATTTAACATTGCTTGGGTCGACTTTTTTTTTTTTTTTTTTTTTTTAATTATTATTATTGAGAAACGGCAGGCTGACATATACGTAAACTTAACTTGGGTTCCAGTACGATAAACATTTCAACAAATCGTTGGTGATCAGAGTTTATAACCAACACTACCAGTCAACCAGCGCTGTTTCTGGAGGTAATGATCCCTTGAAAAATGTATTGAAGTGTATATATATTGCAGCCAACTTTGTCTTTTTGCATGTTCAAATGTTGTTTTGAATCTCTGCTAAGTTGAGACTGTTTCCTTCTTTTACATTATGTAATTCAAGATTCATTTAAAGTATTGCTTTGTCTGTTAGCTCCTAAATGTTTTTTTTTTTCTATATGTATTTACATGAAAAAATACCTCTGTCATTTGTTCAGATGTCAAAAAAGAAGCATCATCTTCATGCCATTACAGCAGATACAATGTAGAGATGTTCATGCTCTCATCTCTGAGCATCTGAGTGAGTCTCTCCTGTTACTGAGTGATGTGAGACAATGTTGTGATGATGAATGAGGATGCACTTGGAGGATATTCAATGCCAAAATATCAGTCTGTGACAAGTTAAAAGAAGACGGGCCCTGTTTTGCTGGTCCACCAGGATTTACCTCACACGGGTATTTCAAGTGGCGAGTTTACAAAATCATAAGTATTTTAGGTAGTCTAAAAAGATATCAGCTCTAGCTATGACATCTTTCAGCCTTTATTGATAAAAACAACAAAATCAAAGGATTTAACTCTGCTTCTTGATCTGCCATCGGGCCTTTTGAAAGTTATTGGGATGTTCTTCTTTTAGGCAAGACCTCACTCCACCATGTCATAGAGAAAAAAAGATAAATATACTGTTAATGTTTTCCTATCTTTGTGTTACTGAGTTCTTAAGTTTTTAAAATTTCATGTGTATGGCAACGTTATTAAAAAAAAAAAAAAAAAAAAAAAACAAAGGATGACGTGGGGTTTTTTTTTTTTTTTTTTTTTTTTTCAAACTACTTGAAAAAGTGTTGTAATTACATCTGTATGAAGAATGCCAAATAAACACTGCAACATGTAACATAAATGTATAAGTGTATTCATGTTATAGCATTTATACAAAAAAGTGAAAAAGAATGAAGAGTTTTAATTGTTACTTTATTTACATTTTGTATTGTCTTCATCTGCATTCATGCTATTATCTCCATATAAAAACTGACATTCAGTAGTAATATTCAAGAATCAAACATTAAATCTGACATGGGAAGTAACAAAGGAAAATCTTACACAAGGTGCAACAACAGTGCCAGTTGTTGAGCTGTTTAAATTACAGCCACACAGAGCAAAGTCAGTCACTGTCTTTATTCGAGAGCTGAGGTTCAGTGATTGTGACACCAGTACGAGGGCCATGTTACTATGGGCCGAACTGTTACAATTCAAACAGCAAAGGAAGAAAATGTAGGAAAAATCCTCGTCACTGAGACACACTAACAAAGACCTTGGTCAAAGATTTTTACCAAACGTTTGATGTGGAAAAGCTTTTGCCGAAGGTCTTTGCTCTGCTTCTTCTTTGCTTGATATTCTGGCGCCTAGAAGAAAGAGAAATTTAAGAAAGCAGATATTAAACTATCCAACATTATCAGCAGTAGTTTGAGAAACATGCTTTTTCACTTCAGATTTATCTTGCAGGCATGAGAGTGGTATCAATCCTCTCAGCTAAATCATAGCAAGAAAGTAAATAAGCCTGCTCCTAAAAATTTCAAACTATTTTGTTAATTTCACATTATGTTATCAGCACAGATCTCAGTGCACTCACCCTTTTAAGGTCTTTCAGTCGGTTGTACTCCTCTGCCACTCCCTGAGAATGGAAATACAAATCCTATCACTTCATTGTGCTGATGTTATGTCATAAACAACAGAATGTTGCACAAAAATACATAATCAGGATCATCTTTAATCCTAATGAAAAAAAAACACACAAACAATAGATGAATAAATACATGACTGATACATAAAATCGAGGGAACTCTGGCTTGGTTCATCTTCACTAGTCAATGTTTCAGCGTTTGGGTATGGTAAACGGCACAGATATGACTGTATTTTTCCACTGTGCACTCCTCCCTCCTGTTGTTCTCTACCTGGTACTTCATGGAGCCCTCGTGCAACATGTCCAGTTCTCGGCTCAGCTTGTGCATCTGGTCACTGATGTCATCCATGTCGGCACAGAGGCTCTTATAGCGGGCCAGATCAGCGTCAAACTCCTTCTTGTACTTCTGGCGCTGCTCATCTGAAGTTATCTCTGGGTACAGCCTGGGGTGGGATATTAATGTGAAGACAATTTTGCATGTTGCTACCTAAAACTACAAAAATGTATATAATAAAAATGGTATTCAATTAATTAACAGAGGAAAAGCCACTGAAGGAGCAACAGAGAATACAAATATGGAATATAAGTCTTCTAGTTGGAATACTGTAACTAAACTCAAGTATTGTTATTAGCCCAATTTTTAGCATTAAACAGTTTAGGGAAACCTGACTTCACTTGTATTTTGTGCCCGTATATCTGTCTTTATGTTTTTTTGTTCTCTATTTAACTGGCAGCAGAGTTGTGGCTCACCTGTAAAGATAATCTGTTTGGTTATGGTCCAGCTCATTGCCAGTGTCTCCGGTGGTGTAACCAGTTTCATACTGGGACTCCACCATCTCGTGAGCAGGAGTTTGGGGCTGTCGGTCATTCCTCTGCTCCCTCTCCACACGATAAGGAGGAGGCTTCCGGATGCTGTCGGTCTCATCTGAAGAGCTGCTGCAGTAAACTGTCACCCTGCTGTTCTGGTACAGAGGCTCAGCACCATGGTGGTTACTGTTGTCAGCAGGGAAACTGGAAAATACACAATTTTTTTTCACTGTTTGATGGACGTCTGCAGCCACATATACGTATATTGGCTACATTAACTCATCAATACTATGATGTTTTTTTTACATTTTTGTACCTTACTCTAGTGTGATATTTTTATGCCTTACTATACTATGACATTTTTTCTAATTATTATGCCCTACTATAGCATGACGTTTTTTCCTGTTTTTATGACTTACTATACTATGACGTTTTTTCATGTTTTTATGCCTTACTATACTATGACGTTTTTTCACGTTTTTATGACTTACTATACTATGACGTTTTTTCATGTTTTTATGCCTTACTATACTATCATGTTTTTTCATGTTTTGTGCCTTAATGTACTATGACGTTTTTTCACGTTTTTATGCCTTACTATACAATGACGTTTTTTCACGTTTTAATGCCATACTATACTATGACGTTTTTTCACGTTTTTATGACTTACTATACTATGACGTTTTTTCACGTTTTTATGACTTACTATACTATGACGTTTTTTCATGTTTTTATGCCTTACTATACTATCATGTTTTTTCATGTTTTGTGCCTTAATGTACTATGACGTTTTTTCACGTTTTTATGCCTTACTATACAATGACGTTTTTTCACGTTTTAATGCCATACTATACTATGACGTTTTTTCACGTTTTTATGACTTACTATACTATGACGTTTT